TTTGTACCAAACTTGATAAATTTTAATTGTCTAGCAATTAGCTTTCTCTTATTATTTTGCTATTATTGTTATGACGTGAAAAACTTTAGATATTTATCTACATTAATGAATTTATTTAAATTTATTTACTGCTATATACACTTCAAGAATTATATGGTAAAAATGATATTACATGGTGTTTAAAAGTACCAATAGCTCTTGATATTTGTCATGGTCTTGTATTTTTGCATACTTGTGAAATTCTTCATCATGACATTAGGTGTGCAAATATTTTAGTAAGTTCGTAAATTTATTATTACAATTATGGAATCAATATTTTTGAACTATAATCATAACAATAAACAAACTAAACAGATGACCTCACACTCAAGCCGAAGATAGCAAATTTTAAATATGCTCATCACGATTCATCGCATACCAGTAAAATAAATTGTTTAAATGAAATCATTGGATTATATTCAAATACAAAATATTTAGGTAAATATTTCTTCGATTCATTGAAGATATTAATTATATTTTCTTAATTTATTTTTTTAAATTAGTTTTGGAATGATGCTTTGGGAACTTGCATTTGAAAAAATTCTATATGCTAATATAGAAATAAATAAAATTAAGGAGCATGTTTTAAAGGGTAATCGAGAAAAAATTTCTTGGAGAGTTGGCTCACCAGATATCAAAAATCTAATGAAAATTTGCAAAAATAATGATTTCAGATACTATTTTCTCTACATTTGATTAATTCTAATCTTTATTCTTTTTGGTTTGCTAAAGTTTTTTTTACTATAAAGCCTGGCAACAAGATATAAATATCAGAGCTTCTCTTCAAGATATTTTTTAAAACTGAATAAGCTATCTGTGGCCTTTGCTAAACCAGGATCTTTCCCATCACTGCTCCCTGATAGAACAATTGATTTTGATAGATCTAAACCTCAAACACAACCTATAGAACTTCCTGAAATGACCATGAATTTTAATTTTCCAAAAATAATGCCTTTTGAAGAAGGCATTAAAAAAAAGATTATAATACAGCTTGGGATTGTTTTCAGACCCATTCTGATTTGGAAAATGCAACAGCCAAATATTGGATAGGATATTATTTGTCTGAGGATATCCTTCTGGAGTTAAAGATCTTGTTAGGGCAATTCAAAGCATCAGCTAATGATGGAATTCCTGATGCTCAATTACGTTATGCATTTATATTGACCAATACACCAGGTATTAAATTCAACAAGAAGATATTTAGTAAATTTAGTGAATATCTTACAAAAGCAGCTAATGCTGGAAATGTCACAGCTCAATATAATTCGGGTGATATGTATTTAAATAGAAGATTACTTTGTTCTGTGAATGAAGAACTAGGCATTAAATACTAAAATTACCACCCTTAATGACCACTTTGATGAGATCAAACTTCTTGAAGAAAAAGAAATTAATATTTTTTAAATAATTTAATATGATCAAAAAAAATAATAATTCAATTATCCTTGATTTTATTATTATTTTTATAATTTTATTATTGTTACATCTACTTTTTTTAAGTACAGTATATGTTTATTTGTTGTGTTTATATAAATTCATACAAGTCAAGAATATAATGTAGAAAATTTTTTATTTTAAATTTGAGTTTAAAAAAGAAAAAATTAGACTAATTATTTTTCGCTCAAGCGATATATTTAGTTAAATATATCTCAAGTTCATTATGTGACATAGCTATATGATTTGTAATAGATTTATAGTTAACTATTAGCTGAATTTTATGGGCTTTTTAGAATTTAGTGTAGTAACAATTTTACTAGTTTCTATTAGCTGTGATTACTCTTTTATAATATAACATCTTAGTTGGAGTTAGGTTAGTGTTAGTAGGCAACATTATATCAAAATTTTACAAGGAATCTTTTTTTTGTTATATAGTATGCAAAAGGTGATTTCTTGAGATTAATGTGACTTTTCAAAAAAAGAGCGATCATTTTTGAAGCGAAATTAATAATTGTAATAATGATGGTTTTACATATACCAATTTCTAACTCTGCAACTTATGAGACTATACATTTCATTGTAGTAATATAGAAATAGCAACTTTTGGAGTTTTGCCCTTTTTTAAAAAAGAATCCAAATATTAATATGAAAATTTTAACGTCACTATTTTGGAGACATATAAATCAAATATGCACAATAATTTTAAAAGACCAGATTTCGCAGTAAAAATAATAAAAACATTTATATATTTTATGACTTCTGTTATCAATAAAATATGCCAGTAAAACTTTATCAAACATTAACTATTAATAATTGAAAAAATATTAACGTTAATGCTTATGTTTTGTGCCTTCAATCCTCTTGATTTGAATCTCATCTTCAACTATTTAAATTTATAAAATAAATAGACACTATGTTAATAAATTACATAGCCTTTATTTAATATAACTTGATGTGCAAACACCAGTATGGCCATTATGTTTTAAAGATGCAATTCACAAATATTTTTTCAGGAAAAGACTGGTTATAAAAACTTGCCAAAACTGAAAAAATACGAATTTTTTTAAGTATTTGAATTATACTAACTTAAAATATCTGGAATTTTAAAATAAATTTGATTAGAATCTAATAAAAATATGTTTATGATCAGATAAATATACAAAGTAATATTCGCTAACATTGAATAATAATAAATACCTTTAATTTGTCATATATTAATAATTTTGCTAGTATACATTGAATCTTGATGCTTTCGTTCGATAATTGGTAATGTTTTAATAATTTTATTAGCAACTAGGAATTTTTCTCTTATATTAAGTTTATCAAGTTTATCAGATTTATAAGTATAATAAATATACTCCCATAGATAATAAAGCTTTAAGCTAATTTCATTTGCAGTAGGTCATTTTTGTGGATCTCAATCCATGCACTTTTTAGCCAGTCTAATATAACAATCAGGTATTCTAAGTACAAATTCTGGTCGCAAACCATTAATTATCTTATCTCTAAGACTTTTATCAAATTCATGACCATCAAAAGGTCTCTGCCTAGATGACATTTCTGCCATAATAATGCCTAGCCCATAAATGTCAGCTGCTGTTGTATAGTAACTTTCACTTGATAGAATTTCAGATGCAATATAGGGCATAACTCCATAAATTTCTCTTTTTTGATTGTGTTCTTCAATTTTCTTAGATAATCCAAGATTTGCAATATAGGAAAATACAGATCCGCTAATATTATTTTGCAAAATATTTTCGCTATAAAAATCACTGTGCATGTATTCTGTTTCATGAATTTTTACTAAATCATATAATATATCCATAAGTTGCGATAATTTATCTTTCTATGTAAGTTCTTTGAATTTTTGTTTTAAAAACTTATTAAGACTTCCATTATCAGCAAATTGAAGCACCATCATTAGATCGTCGCTATCCTTAATAGAGGTGCGATCTGTAAACTAGTAGTTAATATAAATAAACTGTAGGTTATTGTAAAACTGTAGTTAACTGTAGTTTTAAAATAAACTACAGTTTATTTATATATATTGTAATTTACAGTTTGCATCTCTAATCCTCAGGTTTAAAAAGTTTATGATTTTTTGTATACTTAGTTAATCTATATATCCCTAATTTACTACCCATTAATCTAACATTGTACATGATTTTTAAACTTATTAAATGAATTTACATTAATATTTTGTTTAATAAGTAAAATACTTAAATTTAAGAAAAAAAACATACTTCTTCTAAATCTGGCAATGTTTTAAGCGCAACCGTAGATAATTCTTTGCATGACTTTACATAGCTACCATTTTTATATTCAGTTACTCGTATGCTATCTAACCAAATTGCCGAATATACTGATCCAAAACTCTTTCGCCAATTTTTTCAATTTTGTCTAGTCTGTCAAATGGGATCCATTCAATAACATCGTCATACATTATAGCTTCATGTTAAAACTCTTTAATACAATCTTTAATATGATCATCAACGTTATCACTATTTAACCATCCTTGAACAATTATTTTGGGATCGCACGTCTGGCACCAGGCACAAAATGTGTTATACTGTATATAACTCCAATATATTCCATAAAGAGATTTCCTGTGAATTAATAATTAATTGGTTTTAATGACATTAGGTATTTAAATATGGTGCGAACAGTTTAAAAACATCAAATTTATTACTAATTTTTTTAAATTGTATCTTCTCAACAACAAGCAACAAAATCTTAAAAACAAAATATGTATTTTAATAGCTTTTAATGAGGGCTATCAAACTACGTATTTTGTTTTAAGATTTTTGCTTATTGTTGAGAAGATACAATTTTAAATTTATAAAGTTTTAAAATTTTCAGCATTAATATAAAAAAATTAAAAAACATATAAAAAATTTAACCAATCAAATTCATTTCTATAAGTAATGATCAGCAAAATTTTCAGTACTATTATAAATATTTGATGTGACTAGGCTATTTGCACTATACTTTTGCAAAATAAATCACATGCAATTTCAATACTGTCTGTACTCACTGCCTAGTTTTAGCAAATAACAGTTGCGATGCCCAGGATGCTAGGATTTTTTTGATTATTAAATTTTTACTTTTTTGCAGATGATTGACAAATAATGTTATTTCAGTATTTATATGAGATGTAAACAATGATGATCTTGCTTAAACTTCTTTTTTTTTTTTATCAGTTATATACTTTTTTTATTTGTGGAATCATACTGAAATTACCGTTGAACTGACGAACGTTTCGAATTGACAAATACGAGTGTCTAGATGTGAATCTGGCTCACAGGAATCGACCATAAGATATGTTCTGGGTATCATTTGGACCAGACGGACGAGGGCAAAAGTGTAGTCGTTTCAAAATTTTGTTTCGAAACGATGAATATGAGTAACTAAAGCTCGCAGGAATCGTTGTAAGATATGTTCTGAGAATCATTTTGGTCCATTCGGTCAAGGGCAAAAGTGTAGTCAATTCGAAACGTTCGTTGATTTTTTGAAGGTTCTGGTTTGGTTCTTGAAACATATGTTTCTTTCTTTCTTTTTT